GATACGGAGAAACACAAAACTAGATGGGTTGCTGCGATCTTACAGCAATGTTTTGGCCCACAGACTTTCCCGATTACTTTTCATTTTTCCTTTTTTTCTTCGGTTATAGCTATTCCAAACTGCCACATTATCTTACCTGTTGTGGCCCAACTATCCGCCGACCCAAAACCATTTTTTTTTTTTTTTTTTTTTTCAGAAAAAATTTTGAAGCCTAAGCGTTTTTTGATAAAATTTTTGAAAAATCATCTCGGTGTTATTGTTGACCTTCATGTAACGACACCAGGTTCTTTCAATATTCGAAAAAATTACGACGCATTGGGTTAGCCTATTTTAGTTGTCACAGGCACCAGATGACGAAAACAACGGACAAACAGACAGACAGATTGGACATTTTGAAAAAAAAAATCACCGTTCGCGTATCAGGAACCCTCAAAACAAATTTTCGTCGATAAAGCTCGAAATCGAATTTTCCGCAGCAATACAGAATTTCCCATACGTATGTATATTACTCCGCATACGTACGTATAACGGGAAAGTAAACAGTTGAGTAATGGAGATCTATTGATGAGAGTATTTCGCCGTTTTGCGTATACATTTATGCGCCGAAATCGATCTGAAGGATCATTCAGAAACTCGTCTATCAATATATGTTGGTATGGAGAGATTCGGCAATGTGTCTCTCCAACAGAACGATAATAGAACAAGAGACAACGTAGATGACACCAAAGTCATTGAGAGATTGCTATTGTGTTGAAAAATGTAACCAATTTCAGTTTAAGTACATCTGAATCAAAATAAATCTTTATAGTTTCCCGAATAGTGTGGAAGAGGTGGCCAGAAGGTGGAAGATGAACATGTGGGAGAGAGACATGTGGGAAGGAGACATGGTGGAGATGAGGAATTGAGGGGAGAGGAACATGTGGAGAAACATGGGGGAGAGGACATGTGGGGAGAGGAGACCATGTGGGGGAGAGTGACATGTGGGGAGAGGAGAATTCCTGGGGAGAGGAGACCATGTGGGAAGGAACATGTGGGGGAGAGGGACATGTGGAGGAGAGGGACATTGTTGGGGGAGAGGAGACATGTGGGGCGGAGGAGGCAGTGTGAGAAGAGGAAGACATGTGAGGAGAGGAGGCAAGTGTGGGAGAGGAGGCAAGTGGAGGAGAAGAGGCAAGTGGAGGAGAAGAGGCAAGTGGAGGAGAAGAGGCAAGTGGAGGAGAGGAAGCAAGTGGAGGAGAGGAGGCAAGTGGAGGAGAGGAGGCAAGTGGAGGAGAGGAGGCAAGTGGAGGAGAGGAAACAAATGGGATGTGAGGAGGCGAGCGAGTGAGAAGGCGGCGAGGGAACAAGTGGCAAAGAGCTCACCTGCTGCCCGTCCGGGTGGTAGAGGCTGCGGGCGCGCGTGCCGTCCCGCGCGTGCACGAGGCGTCCGCGCACGGGCAGCCCGCGCGCCATCACGGCCGCCTCCAGCCCGGCCGCTCGCAGCGCCGCGCGCCCGCGGTGCGACAGCGTCAGGTTGATGGTGCGGCCGCGGTTCAGCTGCGGCGTGCGGCGCACGTCTGCGCACACCCAGGTCAATTACTATCTCGCGATAAAATAATATACTCCAATTGAATGGCCGCAATTTTATACGCAGATGATTCATTGATTTATTTCCACTCATCACACTCACGATGTTACTTCATGTGAACTCTTCGTTCAGTATGAAACTTTTCTCCTTTGAGATTCTACATATCGTGTCTCAGTTTTTGCTTTATAATGTAATAACATTAGTAATTCATATGATTACATCAGTGTATAAATTACTTGGCCAGGCAAGTATTAATTCAACTTCACTTTTTCTTCATAAGATTTATATTTATGAAAGCAAAGAAAGAAACATCATGTTAGACTTATTAAATACCTACATTTTCAAGATATTTTAACGAGCTAAGTTGTTACATTAGGTAAAAGTTGAATGTCTCTTCAGAAGAAAGCTAGTTGTGGGGATTCTCTCAATTTTGAAAATGTATTTCAGAGTAGTGAAAGTTCTTGAAATTCTTTCAGAATTAAAAGGTGTATTAGTTTATGTTAATTACTCATTTACTAACAAATGAAAAGTTTAATTTAAATATTCTTCTTAATTTTTGTTAGTAAATGTAGTCGGAAAATTCTACCTCCTTTTTTCACAATATTTTTCAAACTTCATCTTAATACAAGTAAAACTGTTGTTCGCTTTTTTCAATTGTCAAAAAAAATTGTAGAGTTTCTAGTTTCGTTGAAAGGATATTCTCAAACCATATGATGTTTTCCATTCAAAATAGTTCAAAAGAAAGAGTTTTATTAATTCTGTGCCCAAAATAATGTTTTAGATAAAATACAAATGCTTTGAAGAGGGAGTATTCTTACCATCTCGATATTCATAAAGATCGACCAAATGCCCCCGTCTTGCTAAGAAGACTGCTTCCAAAGCCCCCACCTGAGGAAAACATAGATACAGAAACATACATAAAACAGATATTACTGAAGTGCATTTGAATATTTTCAACAACATTACACTATTTTTCTTTAATAGAGTAATTGAATTCCAACTGCTCGTACCTTTATTATTCTCTGAAGGCTATGGGTGGCTTACAATTTAGGTTTAAATGGTATGCAGTATTGTTCTCGAAATGGTTACCAAAAGGATTTACTTCGATATGTTCATATAAGAGAAATTATTTAGACTACCTTTTAAAACCTGTCTCTAATTACTGCGTTCGTGGTGTAATTACGTAACCGCTGTTCGAAATAGTGTTTTGGTAGCAGAAAATTGCTCTGGAAAAGTTACTTCTTCATGGATATTTGCTATTCATCCATTACTAAAATATACCAATGTTTTTAAGTTAAAGAGCCAAAGTAAAGAAATATGAATTTCATGGTTAATTTGTACCAATTTTACCAAAACAAAATAATTATGAATTGACCCTACGCTTTCAGTGGACATCTTCGGGATATATGCTGTGGACATTTTGAATAAAATTATGTGTTCTAAAACGTTCATGCACGCTGAAAATACCTGATTTCCTATTAGAGTGTTATTCGTTATTTAAAATATTAGGACACGGAAGATGTGCCGCGAAGTAACAAAAAATTGCAGGTGAAAGTTTTTTCGTGATACAAAGGGAGAAAACATCCCCTAACGACTCTCAGTACTCCCCCATCCGACTTCCGGTCAGCAAGATTGCGAGGTGGTGAGTGGGCGCAAGAGTCCATTGGGACTTGGGGGTTTTCAATTGATCCTACATTTTTGGCGCCCTATACATGTGGAACAATGTTGCTCGACAACTGTCACAGATACCGAACGCATAAGGACATTACTTTGAACGATGTGTGTGTGTGTGTGTGTGGGGGGGGAGTTTAAGCTAAATACCTGACCATAGCTGATAGTTAAGAAGGATGCAACTATCAAATAAAATGTTTGTGATTCCATCTTTTTCTATGATCTAGAATTCTTTAACTAGGTGTGAAACTATATATGATCTAGATCTTTCTACGATTCTTTGATCTATATCGTTGAGTGTGTCATCACGTCCTTCTAGCGGGAGAATTCGCCGCCCGGCCAGGTGCGCGGTGGCTCCCGAAGGGCCGGAAGAAACCCGGCCCACGTGCGCGTCCCGTTGCGCAAGGTCTCGCCGGCCGCGCACCTCTGCGGCTTCTGTGGCGGCGCCGCGCTGCGCCGCGCCGCGCCCGCCGAGCCGAAAGGACGAACCGCCGCGCTGGCGGGTTTCGCCCCTCGGATCCGCTCAGGCGGCGCGGCGGACTCGGTTCGCGCGTGGGGGAGTGGGGACTGGGGAAGGGGTCGAAGCGCGGGACGGAGCAGACGAAGCGGGGGGCGGGGCGGGCGGAGGGCGGGCGGCGGCGGGGGCGGCGGGCGTAGACGGGGCGGGGGGGGGGGGCAAGGGCGGGCGGGGGCGAGGCGGGGGGGCAGGCGGGGGCGGGGCAGGGGGCGGGGGTGGAGCGGGGGCCGGGTGAGGGCGGCGGAGGGGTGGGCGGGCGGGGGCGGGCGGGGCGGTGGCGCTCAGGGCGGGGCGGGGCAGCGGGTCGGGGATGGGGAGGGCGCGGGTCGTTGAGTGCGGCCGGGGGGGGCGGCGTGCCGTGCGGAGCGCCGGGGAGGGGGGGCGGCGGCGTCGATGGGTGGGGGGAGGCTGGATAGAGGAGGAGGAATTCGGCGGGAGGGCGATACGCACTTACGCAACTCGTGTTCGCGGTCAACGCCACGCAGCCACTGGCAGAGCCCCCCTCCCCCCGAGTTCCATGTAATAAACTTTCGAATGTAGAAACACGTTCCTGCGGTCGTGATCTGATAATTATCTCAAATCGGAAGTCGTGTAGTAAATATCTTCTGTCAAATTGAGTGTGTAATCATTGAGAGGAAGAGGAAACAATTTACACTAGAAATGCCAATTACAATCACTTTGTGGTAAGCTATGTGCAATTGCAATGTAGAGAGAGAGAGAGAGAAATAAACAAACAAACTTTCTTCTATGTTTTATATTGTAATTATTGCGACTCTTGCATCATGAGTTCGGATGACGCTATTAGTTACGTTTGTTACTGCACGGCGAAGATTCATAGCTTCACCTGAGAGTAATAATTACGCTATTGTTCTCACTATGGGAATGAAATGGTCGCTAAAGGTCGTACCCGTAATGGAATTACCCGAAAAAAAATCGCATCAACTTTCATCGTATGTAAGCCAGTTACCCAGAAACTCTCCCCTCAAATAACAAACAACTATTTATAAAGATTATGTTTTTTTCGAGTTTCACAACATAATGCAACATAAATGCAGAGGAATATTAGATACGAACATGACAAAAAAGTTACGAATTTAATTTTAAACAACAATCGATATTTTTCTGTCTGCATGTAAAGGCTCAACATAATTATATTTGTTCCAACTGGGCACTTAAGTTACGATTCTAAAGCAAGATTCTGAAAATGAATCCTTGTGATGTAATACTACGATTTCGTAACTTGTGTTTGGAGAATAAATAATACTTTTGGTCACATGAAGTTGATCAGGTCAAAGTTTATAGGGCCGCAGGTTAAGTGAAATTACAATTAAATCCTAAATATGACGATTATACATAATCATATACAATTAATATTGTCAACTTAATAGTTATGTCACCTTCCTTTCTGACACTGCAGTCATAGTGTAAAATTGGTACAGATTTTTTTTAAACGTGAAATGCAGTTTTGGTTAAAAGTAGCTCAAAATTTTCCATTTGAATTGGGGGAGGAAAGAAGAAAATGCGTCGAACAGATATAGTAGTACGGTTATATTAATTTCTTACTATCAGCATCATTCTATGTTTATGTTAAAATATATTTGATGCTGCCCGATATATTTTCTTAACTTTTACAAAAGATTTTGAATAAATGTAGTAAAAAACAAACTAAAAATATCTCTTTCAATAAATACTTTTTCAAAGAAAAAAATCGCTTCCACCATTCTTCTTTCTATCACCATTACAATGATCAAATGCAATATTGTGAGCAACCGCTATTATAACATCCTTATATGAAGGAATAGTTATTTATGCATCAAGTTATTTTAATGATCTCAGGCAACAAAATGCTGTTTTTTAGCAGCTTGATTATTAGAGCATGTTAAAGTCCGCGGTACACACAATATTTTATATTCGACGTCTTTTAATGAATCAAACTTACTTATTTTCTACCCAACTAGACGTGTATCTGACTCGGTTAGTCATTTTCTATTTCCTTTCATAATACTATTCATAAGAGAACGTGTATCATTCGATTGTTTTCGTAGCTCCCTCTTAACCACGGTCCTCTCGATCCAGGAAAGTTCAGCGGAGTATATCGACCTCCGCATCGGAGGCAATGAGAAGCAATAACGTATCAGTGAAAAAACAAAAGCAGCGTATGGCTTCGCTGCGTGTTGCGGTGTGTACTCACCAGGCCTCCGCCCACCACGGCCACCTTGAGTCGCTTGGCGGGTGCGGGCCCAGCGCGGACGCCGCCAGCCGCCGCCATCGCCGTCGCCGACTGCAGGCGCCGCCCGCCGCGAAGGGGGTTCGTGCCCCGCGTTGGCCCGCGTTGCGTAACGCCCCCACCGTGCCCTCCGCGCCACACCCTCTGCGGCTGAGCGGCCCTAAGCCCGCACGCGCCGTCGCCCCTGGCCCGCCGTCGTGTTGAACACCTCCCAGCCCCTGCCGCCGCTCCACCCACGTTCCCACCCAACGCCCCGCCTGCCCCATCGTCCGTTCCGTCACCCTGCTGTTCCGACTCCCTGTTCCTCTCCGTTCTCTCGCCCTATCCCCCTCCACGTGCCATCTCCCAGCCCGTCCCGACATCCCCTGCCCCATCCTCCTGCCCACAATTTCGCCCAATCCACCGCTCTATCAACTTCCCTGCGCGCCGCCCCGGCCACCTTCCCGCCTGTCCCGTCGCCTATTCCCCTGCTCGTTCCGACGTCCTATACCCCCTCGTCCCATCCCGTCGCATCGCCTGTGCCAATGACTCTCCCGTACGTCCTCATGCTCCGCAACCACTTGCCTACCTTCCGCTCTGCCTTTCTCTCCGTCAACCACCAGCCGCACTTAGGCTGTTTGTAAGACCACAGCCATTAGGCTGCAGGTGTTCCAGTCTCTTCATGGCCGCCGAAAGCTGAATCCGCTTTGTTTTACTTTTCGAATAGAGCAAAATACGTTTATAAAAGCTACACAGGCTCCATTTTTTGTAAACTCTTTGTATTTTCAAACAATTACGAGAGTTTAATTTCAAAACTATATATCGTATATTGAGGGTGTTTTTTTCTAAGCAAGCCGTGTGTTTGCGAATATTGCTTTAGTTTCAATTTATTGTGGTGTCTTCTTATAACTACATTTAAGACATTGATTTAATGAAATATATTTTTTACACTTAGTTCGTGAAATGTCATGAGGAATTTTTCTCAAAATCTCTGAGTGTTTGAAAATTGTAATTATAAATATTCAATTTTGTGTTGACGATTCTGAAAGATTGTATTTATCTGTGAGGCTGCTTGTGCAGAGGTAACGTGAATGCGATTCTAATCTCAAGAACCTGATTTCGATTCTCAGCTTAGCAAAAAGCTTTGGTGCTTGGAAACACTTTTGCAGGTTCAAGTAGTATTATGATATTATTTAGTAGTTACGAATAATGCGAAGTTGTGAAGTTGACGTTACGAATAATGCGAGAACGTACGTGCTGTTGTTACACAAGTAGTTTTGCTTGGTTGCCTTCATCGAATTTCATGGTATGGGAAATTGAAGACTTTATGGCAGTATTAACAAGAAGAATCAGACATATTAGTATTAACAAAGAAATTTTTTTATTTACATTATAAAGGAAATATCATCGTTTTTCGACTCAAAATTCATGCTGTTGGAGTCAGATATTTTAATTTGTTATAATGAAATGATTTTTTAAATTATTTTTAATATGTTGAATGGAATATACTTATACTGCATAAATATCTTTCCCTCGTTGCGTCATAAAGTTAAAGAAAAAACATTCGACACTCATTAGTTAATTATTTTTTAGTCTTAACTTTCTGATTTTATTGAAATTAGATGTCCTACAATTTTTTCGATTCACGTGACAAAAATTTCGGGGCGTCATTTTTAAATGAGATTGAAATAATTTTTAATGAATTAAATTAATAAAAAATCATTTTGCGTTTTTTTATCAGATAATATATTTGAATGAAACTGTATATAAATAAAAATGAATGTTGATACATTCAATTCATTCCTTTATTACTGAAACAGCATTCTAAGACAGTACTGCCAGGTTTATGTTGTTCATCTTATATAATAATCGAGTGACCTGCGGTCGTCCGTGCTTCATTCGTTGGACCTCATCTGGCCCACCACTCGACGAAAAAAGGTGTCATTTGACGCGTCTCGTTTTCCTGGTGAGAAACTGATTTTTTTGCGGATCCTTCTAAAAGATTCCAAGAAATGCTACTAAAAATGAGGGTTTTTTGTTTTTTAAGCGGCTAAAACACATTTTGGGTGTCTTGCGTCACCTACAGAGGTGATCAGTAAACTTTTTCAATTCCTCTCGACAAGACAAATGGATTAGCACGTTTTTTAGACGGTTCCTTCTAAAATATTATGAAAGAATTCTAGAAAAAATTTGTGTTTTTTTAATGATTCAATTCACTTACGAGTATCTACATCGGTGAAAAACTTTTAACTGTTAATTTATTTTATTTCCGCCATTTACATGGATCGCTGCGACGTGATTAATCAGATTAACGAAAATTAAAATTAATTTTGTAATGAAACAAATTTAAACAACCGTTTTAATCGATAGTTTTTCTTGTAAATTTCTATTCCTGACTATGTACTAAATGGGCAACTATGTTATGTTTAATAATATTTTTATTAGAATGCGAAGCTTAAATACAACTTTTTACCACAAAAGTACATCCGGAGAAATACCCTACATTTGATTCACATTACTACAGGGTGTAACAAATGGGTAGGAAAAGATAAAACAGTGCAAATAAGTATTATAGAAAATGATTTGAAACATTTTATTGATCATTTATATAAAAATATTTATTCTTAAATTTTTTAATTGCATGAAAATTAATTGTCATCAAGATTGCTTTTATTACCCCTTATTTTGGAATCAAAAGTTAATATATTCTTAGAACATTCGTGCGTAGTCTTTAAAATGATCTTCATTGGTGGGCGGGTTGTTGCATTCTTGCTTTTGTCGCTGATTTGAATGCCATCTCGGACGGTCAGAGGAGGCGCTTGAGAGGTGCCATCTCCTGCACCTCAAAGTTGTCCCACAGCCAGCGCGCCAACACCGCCGCCGCGGCCACCCCCGCCGTCGTCAGCGCCCCTCGCAGCACCTGTCACAAGTGAGTGCAATTACGATGCAGGGATTGCAAGACAGGAATAGGCTTTGAAATATCATATAGATCGCATGGTGCTTGCGCGACAAATGCTATGGTGATTTGCTCCATAAGTGTGATCAATGTTGTATCATGAGAGGTGGTGATGTTCCTCTCTATATAATGTGATGTCCGACGCGGACCCACACATCGGCTTGAGGGAGGTTCCTCATCCAGGTATCTCCACAAACGGGTCACCCTCTCAATCGGAGTAAGCTCTAACCTTCCGTCCGGTGTTTCATCATATGTGGTACTAGCAGCGTAGCCTCAGCAGAACGACTCTAAATGCATCAACGATTTTCCGCATCTAATTTTTTCGCCTCTTTTGTGCATTACAAGACCGCGAAAAAGTTTTGCCTCGTGTGAGATGGATATCTGATCAGTTTGTAACCTTCGTTGTAATCTTTTTTTTGTTTGAAGCACTGATACAAGTAGCTAGGGGGTGCCATTTAAATATGAGTGCAGAATTAACCCCGGTGGGGGTGGGGAGGACGGAAAGACAATTTATCTCGTTAATTCTCCTTCAAGGCGTATCACCTCTAAATTTAATTATTAAAATTAATAATATTTTATGAAGAATAGTACTAAATAAATTTGAGAGGAATGCATTTCTTTTGTGGCGAAACTTCGACATTGAATGTGTCAATATAATACTTTCCTAAGTGTATTTTATTTCTTTAAAATTAATTTAAAACTCTTAGGGCAGTCTCAACAATAAATCCACTAGTCTCTGAATTACTAACTCCGATTTTTAACATTGTCTCTAATTATTAATTTTTCAATAAATACTCGATAATATTTTTAAAATTAATGTAACATTATTTCAGTTTTCATATGAAAATTTTATTTTCACGGAGAGAATTCCACGGTAGTGTTTATTGTTAATAATTAGGTGGTTCTTCCAAGAAATCGATTGCACATTTACAGCATTACAAATAATAAAGATTTTACTGAATTTCAGCTTTCGCATTAGTAATCTGAAGTGCATAGTTAACAGTTTGAATACCTATTGCATGTCAACATATTTAAAATTATTTCCCAAAGATTTACTTTCGAGATTCAAAACTGAATCAACTACTTTTGTAAGTAATAAAGTTTCGGTATCTATTAAAGTTCTACAAACATTAAAGGGAGACGCGAGACACTAAAACGCCCAGCGGGTTTGCTTGAAGGCCTTGAGGCTTCTGATGACCGCCGCAGGCCATAGGCCCACTGGAGCGAGGGGGGGGGCGGTGGAGGCCTGTCCTCGCGCACACAGGGCGACCGCCCGCTGCAGGGCTTCGGGTTTCTGGGCCCGGCGTTCGATGTCACCGGCCCATCGAGAAGCTCGGGGATATCGATTTACCAGGGAGCCACAAAAAAGGAAGACTCTGCGTGTGTGGGATGGAAACCACGCAAAATAAACTTCTTTCAAGAAAGAATGTGGTGTGACAGACAACTGGGATTTAAGTACGAATGTTGTCCCTGAATTTTTTACTGATTAATAAATATTTTTTTAAAATTAATACGTAAAATAAGTGAAGCGTCATTTAAGTTCCTGCAACAAAAAAAGGAAGATTACGCGTGTGTGGGATGGAAATCACGCAAAATAAACTTCTTTCAAAAACGCAATGTTGTGTGAACAGACAACTGGGATTTAAGTACGAATGTTGTCCCTGAATTTTTTACTGATTATTAAATATTTTTTTAAAATTAATAACGTAAAAATAAGTGAAGCATCATTTAAGTTCCTGAACGTTAAGATCGGTTTTAGTTTGTGTAACAATTTAAGTAACTCACATTTTTTTAGCGAATAAAGAGGAATAATAAGTTAGTAAAGTTAACTTACAACAATAACTTACTTACAACAATAGATAAGCAAATTTTTCTTAAGCCTATTCTATAATGTAAATTATAGTACAGCTGTGTGCTTTTGTAATTGTACGGCCTGCAGCAGCACAAATTACGCTCTAGAAAGCAAAATGGATTTGCAATAGTAGCACGCATAGTTTTCAAAAATAGCAAATAAAATTCTCTCCTATTATGCTGTAATATAAGAAATATTTTAACAAAATAAGTACTACAATAACTAGAACAAGTATAGTAGATATACAGTGTAACATAAAAATTACATATCGAGAATATAAAAACAACTGCTGTTGCATAACGAAACACGTGAATACCAAATAGTTAAAGGAGGACGACCTCTTACTTGGAGCCTTGGTATCGCTATTCGTAAGCTCTGTCGAAAACAGTGGCGAGGAGGGAGACCGCAGGCTCTCCAGTGTTGATCATATAATCTTCTTTTCAGAGAATCAAGTTAACGGGAGTAACAGGCAAATAACGTGGAAAGCCAAGTTGATGGACGTATGCAAACTAGTTTTGGGTTCTGAATATTCTGATGAAACTCACGCAGTATTTCTTTAGAGACAACGTGGCCCGAGAAGATGGATTATGATTTGTCTGTGGATGAATGAGAAATCCATTAACCGGCTTTCGCTCTGTGACACAAACAGACAGTGTTGGACGAGTACGGTTTCCAGTGAAGACCGCTTTCCCTCTTTGTCATTTTCGGCAAAGAAAAAGAATAAGATCGTATCTTAAGAATGTGAACCAACATATATATTTGTTTGTTGTTTTTCTTAAGGTGAAATACCATTCTCGAAATGAGTTAAATAAGGCTTATTGAGATTAGTTCAATCTGTTGGGCTATATGTGACCAGGCAAAGGAAAGGATGTGACAGAGGGCAGTTGTTGGCAGTGAGTTTCTTTGAAGCATTGTAACAAGGAGGATACTAGGGTATAGATTAATAAGTTACTATTAGTATTAAATAATATACCCTGACTTATTGACTTTGTTTACAAATTACAAACTACAAATTACAAAATGAGAAATATTTATTACGTAAGAGTTTTAATTAAAACAAATTAAAAACATCCCAATTAAAATTGTTGATGTATTACTATGTTTAGAAGATATTTAGGTTAAAGTGTGATTCATTTCAAAGTGTTTTGGCACTCAAAAAGAAAAACATCTTAATTACTAATGGTGTTGACTGGATTGCTTCATCAACGGACCAAAATGGAGCAATCGTTGGAATATTCTTAGATCTTTCGAAAGCCTTTGACGTTATTGACCATATCATCTTGCTATCAAAATTCCCTTCTTATGGAATTCGTGGTATCGCTCTAGATTGGATAACCTCGTTCCTTAAACATCGATTTCAAGAAATATGGCACGAAAGAATATTATTTACTCATCTTTCCAATTCTTTACTAATAGAATACGGGGTGCCCGGAAGGTTCGATCTTAGGTCCATTTCTCTTTCTGTTATACGTAAACGATATGCCCTCGTGTATTAGAAACGGAAGAATGGTTCTGTTTGCGGATGACACGAATCTTCTTTGCAAAAAAGAAACAATAAATAGAGCGATTTCAGAAATTTCAAATTGGTTTTGTAATAACAAATTAATAGTTAGAGAAGGAAAACAGTTTAAATGCATTTTTGTATTTCAAATTGGAAGCATTTTTACATTGAAAATGAAAAATATGCAATTAGCTCTGCGTACGTTCTCTTGAGTTCCAGAATCCCTTCTCATGATTTTAACTATAAATAGTTGAAAGATGAGCTAAAGTTAAAGATAAATAATTAAATAAGTAAACAAATAAATAAATAAAAATTATAAAAGCGCGAGATAAGCAACAGTTGAAAAACTAGACATTTTCGTTCCCAAGTTATAGATATCTTATTTGCAATGGAAAAACGAACTGCAGATTTGATTTTTCTTCATTGCTAACAAAATAGTTACTCGCCCTTACCTCTACTCCTACCACTACAAGCAAAATGAGAGTTCAACAAAACGTGCGCATAATGAAGCTTCATTTACGTCCAGCAGTAAAACAAGGGGCTATCTCAGAATTTGCCCAACAAAATTTCTAGGTCTCTCAATTCAGTCAAACGTCAAATGGAATGTATATATATCAGAATTAAACACTAAATTAAGTTCATTATGTTACTCATTCAGAATTCTGGCCAATTTTGTCAGCCTTAATGCAGCTCGTTGCGTTTATTTTGAAAATGTGCACTCCCGCCTGAGATATCGCATAATATTCTGGGGCAGCTCATCATGTAGTACCCAGACCTTTAGATCGCAAAAGAATGGAAAAATGCCATCCGCGTGATCCCTGCAAGCCTATCTTTATTGAGCTTGGAATCTTACCATTTTCGTTCCTATTTATTTACAAATCTGTAATATTTTTCAAAACTGACGTAACGGTGGGAACATACTTTCTGCAATACTGATATTTATAATAACAAATCACTTTCATCAAGTGTCAGTATCAACAGCTCACTACCAGAAATTCACATACAATACATGTACATTACTTTAAAATGCATCGCCAGATGATAATAAACAATTGAAGTCGGTACACAAATTTAAGTTAGAAGTAAAATCTTTTCTGCTGCATAACTGTTTCTATACAATTGGATACTATACTGATCATCAAAAAGAAAAATAATGCTTATTTAACAAAACAGTGATATATAATGAATTATTTTACATTTGTAATGTATATTTTTTAAAAAGACTTAACATGCTTTTAACAAATAATGTACATCACCTTCCGGGTCAATGACTTTGTTTTAATCTCCTTTTGCTTGTAGTGGTAGGAGTAGAGGTAAGGGAGAGTTACTATTTTATTAGCAAATGCAGAAAAATCAAATTTGCAGTTTGTTTTAGCGTTGCAAATAAGTTTTCTATAACTCAGGAACGAAAATGTCTAGTTTTTCAAATGTTGATAATCTCGCGCTTTTCAAAATTTTATTCTTATTTATCTTTATGTTTTACGCATCTCTTACCTATTTATAGTTGAAATGATGGTAAGGGATTCTGGAACTTAAGAAAACGTGCGCAGATCACTTTCTCTCTCATACGTCACATAGAGTTTTTTACTATTTTTTGATTAAAGAAATCTAAACCGGGGAAGCAGCTATGAACGTAGGTCTATTAGTACTTCTGAGAATGAACTCAATGCACCAAAGGAATTCAAAGAGAAAAGTATAGTCAATTGGTATTGTTATTATACAGAATGTTTCTCAAAATAGTGCAGCGCCATGCACGGCTGCACATTGCTGAAGTGTTCTATTTTGACATTACAATGTGACAATTTCACAAGAATGACGAAAGTGTCTCACTCTCCCCACCGACCGTTGTGGGCAATCACAGAGGCATCAAAGAAAGATGAAATTTAAGAATACACTACTAATGTTTTATTGCGAGAAAACGCTTGTAACTTAATGTTATCATTAATGCATTGAGCTCTCCAGTCAAATGTTTTGCACTTATTAAAAAATGAGAAGAGAGAATCATGTTAATCTATTAAGCGATCAGAGTAATTTAAAGGAAAAAATTGACGTGCAAATTATGTGGTATTTATTCTCATTTAGGTGGATGATTAATCAACTAATAATGTTATTTTTCCCGTAAGTGCAGTCCAGTTTTTTTCCTCGGGAGGTGATCTTTCTCCATTCCCCCGCCTGATCCGGCGCTGACGTACAGGTGGCTAGCGGCGTTTTCCCCACAATCAGAATCTCCCACTAGCGGGGACAAGCTCTCTGCATCCGACCGATCTCCCGGCAGTATAGTGCATGTTAGTGCAAGTGTATATAAGTAAAGGGTGATGATAGGACAAGGAAGAGGAAGGAAAGTTCGTGCGTGGTCCATGGCCAGTTTGTTAGGAACCTGCGACCTGCATTCTGCTGGTGTTGATCGGAGAAACCACAGAAAACTACCGATTAGTGCAGCCGTTCACTAGAATTGTCCTACAGACAGCGACTGAATTCGACCTACTGACAACCTAGTGCCGAAACTCCTGCCACTCGAACCTAGGACCTCCCGATCAGAGGCACTACAGTCACATTACTTGATGACCTGAACCACCTCTCCCGGGGTGAGGTAGATACTATTTTAAACGACCTACTCCGAGTTGTACTGAACTGCAGTTACGTTCGGCATAATCCAGATAATTGAGCTATCGAGACGTTAAACCTCTGTTCATCGATTATTCCCGCTAGCAGGTGCGAAGAAGGCTGCGAGTACCTTGTCCTGGCGCCTGCGATGCTCCATGCACCACTTGTAGCCACGGCGCGAGAAGGTGACGCCCTGGTACAGCGGCATCCAGAGGCCCGGCGCCAGGCGGTGCAGCACCGAGTCCAGGCAGCGCCGCAGCTTGTACGAAGGCCGCGCCACCAGGTCGCGCATCTGCAACGGAAGGCTCGACCCGTTTAGAGTTCGTGATGCACCAATCAAATAGCTATCCAGTAAAATTGGACTGGAATTCTGGATTGAATTAGAATACTGGACCATCAATGCGAAATAACGAGCCTAATGAACTGAGCCTCACCATTAATAATGCTTATTATTTCCATTATATTTCATTTAATACATCAATGAACGATAAAGGTTTTTGACGATTTATAGGAGGGATGTCCAACAGCCGGCTCGTGATTCCGTTTACTGTGACCCGCGAAAAGTCAAAAGGGAAAGAACCTTTCATGCATGTCATGCGAGGGAGTATAGTGCACTCGTCTTGCCGGGGTACCCACCTTTGAAGTAAAAGTCGGTTAAATTTAGATTTAAAGATTTTTTCTAGTAAATTCAGAAATTCAAAGCCATGCGCTGATTTATGCGTAGTGCGGTCTGATATTACGCATGGTCCCCCTACCCCCGTTTCAGTGCAGCCAGCAAAGTGCCGAGATCAACAATACGGGGAAGACATGTGTGGATCGCCCGAGAATGAAAATATGTCCCACAACCATATTAAAGGTTTTAGTTGTGGCCCTTAAGGCCTTGCAAGTTGGACACGCCTGATTTATAGGAAACCATCAACACAAAACCGTGTAAGTGTCCTATTGCAGGATAGGGGATTTTCCCCAGTCCTGCATGAAATATTATTTAAGACGAACATTATGGCAGTTGACAGATTATGGCATAGGTGGTAAATCAAACGCATATGCAACACGCAACATTCAGTACGCTGCAGCCCTCTTTACCGTCTTCCAAAACTCGGAAACCAAGGCCTTAAAATCATATTTTGTTTCATCTTCATAACGGTGATTTGTAAATGGCAGAATAATGGCTCGGACCTTATTATTATTATTATTATTATTATTATTATTATTATTAATTATTATCGTGATCAGTATACTTATCATTGACAACGTCATCAATGGGAACTTTACGTTAGATACAATTAAAGCAGGTACCAGCAACATATTTGCATGTGTTTTCGGGGCAACAAAAAATCGAGTTGTATATTTTACAATTTTGAGAATCAATTTTACGTGCTTTACATGCAGTTACGTAAAAAACATTTAAAATGTAAAAATGCATTGTACCATCAAGTATAGTGGCTAAAGCGAAGGAAAGTTTAACTTAAACATGTATGTGCAATATTATATTTTGTGATAATTTTCATATTTGCTTTCACAATTTTTTGAAACGCCTTATGTTCAAGATTGCTAGCGTCGTTAAGACACGTACTTCGACGTAGTTGTACATGGCGAGGTCGCAGATGGCGTGCGCGTCGGGCACGCGCGTGCGAGAGAATTCGTTGAGCGCCGCCTCTGGGGGGAACTTCTCGAGCAGGCCGTCCAGGATGAGGCAGTCCTCGAAACCCTGAGAGACACAAGAAAGGGAATTTTTCTTAATAAGCGTGCTCTAGTGGGTTGAAGAAAATTTTTGAGTTTTTACAAGTCTTTTATGGCAGGGTCTTTGGGTCCGTGTTTTATGGGAGCCTTGTGAGGAAAAGGAATTCTCCGTAAATTAGAAGAAGGTCCTTTTAATAATACAGGTTATGAAGGAGTTCGTTTGAGTGGAGGAGAATGAGGTTAAATTAAACTAGTGAAGTGACGAATAGAATTTTGTGGTAAACATCTTTATTATTACTGTTACTACTTATTGTATGTAAAAATATATTTTCTAAAACAGAAAATTTAAAAAAACGAACGTATGATAAAGTTCCTTAATTCATGTGTATGTGTTTATGGCAAAATTTTGCTTAAACAGTAAAAAATATATTATTATTTGAATTGCGGAGTACATTTTCTATTTAAATTTTGTATTATGTATACTGCAAGAATGTCTTATCAAATATAAGAACACTTGAGGTAATTGTTCCATTTTAAAATCAACATTTAAATTACATTTTCCATAATGAATATTCGAGAATTATCTGAATAGTGAAGAAATTGTGTAGATACTGCATTCAAGGGAAGAGTTTCAGAAAACTTAAAGACAAAGCAATGAACACAAGTACATGCAGAAAGCATCAATTTGGAAAAAAGATAGACACGAAATGTATGTATCATCTCAAGGAGCTGAACAAATCACCTCAATTGCGTACACGAATTGTTTAATTAGTGCGTAGATTCTGTTTAAGGCATTATGATGTTCATAATGTGATTGTTAAAATCATGCGATGAAAATTAAATCTAAGAAAAGAAGCAAATTTATAGTTACACTCACCGCATTCATCCCCTGACCGTAGAAGGGTACCATAGCGTGAGCTGCATCACCTATCACTACTACCTTTCCTCCCACGTTGAAAGGCTCACACTGCAAAGCAAGAGAAACAATGTTAGGATAAAGAAATAATGGTATGTAATTAAGTATGCACTTCTCGACAAGAAAACGCATCTGTAAAAGCCTTGCTAAATCAGAGATATGAGCAATTAATGTTCTCAGATATTGTTAACGTGATCATGAATTGTGGACTTCCATGTGCTAATGTTATATCTAGTTGTTCAGGTTTTGTTCATGTTCATAATTTCAGTAAAGAAGTAGATAAAATTTTGTGTAGACTTAACATTTTTCTATTTCCCTTTTCTGATACTCGGATGTTGCTATTATAAGAGGAGCTATTATGATGAATGATGGAAGGTGGCTGTAAAGAATAGGTGTTACGTTGACATTTTCTAATGACACAAACAAACGGTGAAAGCTTCCAAGCTTTACACGGAATAGGAAACAACATTTCCAGCGTCAAGAGAACGCCGTCAAAGCCGCCTCCTTGGTTTAGAATGGTATGTTGTTTTCACCTTGCTGCTCTTTTGGGGTTGATTTGAAACTATTCGGCGACTAGTTTCCTGGAAAAGGAGGTCCTAGATTTGACTGTACAGCTGATGAATTATTTTACTCCGCATTGAAGCTGTCTGGAACTACCCCACAGACTGAATAAGAATTATAGAGATAGACTGCTTAAATCGGTCGATTCTAAAAATCAATTTAAGGCGAATATGGGCAGTACCTTAAACAACGGTCTATGGACAGTGCGAAATTTTGCTCTTAGGTCCTGGTGATAGGATAATCTCGCATCTATATACAGCCAGCATGATCAAGAAATATTCGGTTTCTCACTGACCAGTACTTCAAAATAGTACAGTAATACAAAATGAGAAGCTAGACCACGATAAAACTGGACACCACGTGAAACATACTGCGTCCTTGGTGAGAGAAAAGAGTGGGGATATGGCAAGTAATGTAAGATTGGGTGAGACGGTAATTATGAGAGTACAAAGCAATGAGTTATTTTGTTGGGGAGGTAGGAGAGGGAGTTCGGGGTTTATTTTCCTTCTCGTTGATAGCTCGAGTTGGTCTGCAGCGTCATACGATGAAGGGAAGACGTACCGGATTTGGAATAGCAATAGCCAACTCTATAATTTAGGTCCATTAATTATTTAATGGGTTTAAAAAGTTATAATAAGCAAGGTTCTAATAGTGAACGGGAATATTTATAAAATGTCTCCGGTGCCTTTGTAATGTATCCAATAATTCTAAAAAGAAGAATGATATATTACTTGTATTTAATAGTAAATTTTAAAAATATATTAATAATTATTGTTTAATAATGAAAATCTACTTTGTATCAAAGTTATAGTGCCGTCTTAATTTTAAATCCTATGAGACTAATTATCAATGATTCAAATTTCTGACACAGAGTGTATATGATGACAAATCTGTATTAAGTCGCAGCAAATATCAGATTGTTTTCCTAACTTTTTAGATCTTGATATAGTTTTGATATTCTTGCAATTTGATGTTTAGTGGATTTTTTGTAATTAATCCGTTTAAAAAAGTTTGCCTGAACTGAATGTACGAAAAAGGAAATAATGTTTCCAATAAGCAAAGGCTCACTGTGTATGTAATAAAATGTATAAAATGTGCCTTATAATATGCACTATAAATCATCAGAATATAGGCACACAAAAAAAGCAATTTGAAATTTAGAGAAAACAAAATATTTACTAAAAAGGTATGCAAAACACCACCTTGCATCCAATAAAAGGAGTTTCCTAGGTAATTATTTTCACCACTTTTACAAGCAAATTAGCAATGTAAAACCTTAAAATAAGTTATTTCACCTACCATTAGGTATAGAAAGTAAATCTGAAATGTTTCTAATAATTTTAGTCTCGTCATAATTTTTATCTAGAGTGCTTGCATTGCGAGGTCTGAGAGTGTATCTTTCTAAAAAGAAGTCCGAAGTGTTCATTTTGTTTTTTTGAAGTGAAATGATGCAACAATTAAAACGAGTGAGGTTAAATTTTGTTTTAAATTGCCTGTTGAGAATGAGGAGCAAGAATGCAGTGGCGCTGCCAGGGAAATTCTCTTTCTACTTGAATAATGGCTAGTAACCGGTGGTAAAATGTGATAATAAAATAAATATATAATCAAAGAGCAAACACTTAATTGTACCTAGAAAATTAAGAGACATTTTTATATTTAATGGATTAACACAAAGGTCTCTGGTGGTAGTGATTGAAGGAGTTGGTGATGAATTAATACTTGGTCTTGAGATATTGTAGAAAAAAGTCATTAATATGTTTGGAATGGAATATGGTTTTAAAATCCAAAACGTCGAAGCAAATTTTGATAGCAAATTGTCCAAATCGATGTCCGAAAGCTGGAACCGATTTTCGACGAAAACAATTGACGAAACGGAATCGTACCAAAGTAGAGGATTTGGAAACAAAGATTTGACTGTAATTCATTCTCAAACCTATCAGTCAACATTTTGAGATAATTTTTCCGAATTCTTATTCTTCAACAACTTATTTTTTATGTAACTCGTAGCCGTCGTTCAAATCTCTACGGGTGGTTCCAATTATAGTCAAGTAGAACAGAAAAATCCCTACATAATATACTCAATGGAAAGATTGTGCTTTTGTTCTATTAAAATACACCAGCTTATGCAGTAACATTAAAGATGAAATAAAGAGATCAGGAACTACGCCTCTCAAGCCATCAAAATCACGTTCTCGTCTTCCATTGGCTCAGTTTTCGATATCAAAATTATACGGTTTTGGACGTCTAATTATGTGTTTCTCCCTACTTCTTAGTATGGGTTGTCAGAAACGAACAAAGTTGAATTCCTGTGTGGCATATTTTTCACATATAGAACTATTTAAAAAGGGCATATTTTTCGCGCGAGTCCAAACAGTCTGTTGACATTTATTGATTGATTGGTTGATTAGTTATTCCGTTCTTGTCAACATGTAAGGTAGTAGTCCCGTAATGAAATCCCGTAAGTCCCGTAAATGAAGAGCATATTTTTATTGTGGGAGGTAGCGGTGATCTTCCCTAGTTGGATGGCGAGATCCGGCGCAGACCTACACGCCTGGTTATGGGTTTTCCAAGCCAGGTGTCTCCCACCAGCCCAACGGGGAGAAGCTCTAAGCTCCCGACTGGTCTCCCGGCGCGAAGATCGCGCGCGGTTCGTGGCCCGTCTGTTAGGATACTCCTCCGACATTCGCCTTGTGCTGATCGGAGAAACCACGGAAAACTATCGATCAGAGCAGCCGGCCGCTAGAAGTTTATTCCAGACAGCGGTTGAATTCAACCTCGCGCCGATAATCCTGCTAACATCGGGACTCGAATCTAGGACCTCCCGGTCATAGGCACTGCTGTGACATCAATAGTTGCCCTCAGACCCCTTAGCCGGTGTCTGTTAATAACATCTGGTGGCTGCAGTGAGGATAAACCTTGATTTTTGATTTATTTAGTCGAAGAACAGTAAAAAACTATATGTAACGTAAAGGAGAGAAGTATCATCTGCGGACGTTTTCTTGAGCTACAGAATTCCTTCCTAACATTAACTGTTAATAGTTGAAAGAAGAATAACATTTAAAAGAAGTAAAGTAAACAAAACATTTTTTGTTCATTTTTATCTTATTTTTAACATTTATTCATCATTATCATTAATATTATTTAGAATATTAATAATAAAAAATAAAAAAGTGCGAGATAAGCAACATATGAAAAAATAGACATTTTCGTTCCTGAGTTAGGGAACAATGCTTTGGTAAACTAATTGTAGATTTAATTGTTTCCATTGCTAACAAATGTAACCAACAAATTAGTACCCCCCCCCGGCTCTACTCCGACCACAACAAGCCAAACGAGAGCCCAACAAAACGCGCGCATAGTGAATCTACAATTCCGTCCAGAACGGACGAGGGCACCCGCGCGCAAACCTTGACGGAGAGCAGCAGCGAGGGCTCGGAGGCGGCGAAGTCGGCGCGCAGCTGCTCCTCGCCGAGCAGCAGCAGGGCGTCGGCCATGCCGCGCTCGCGGAAGAAGGCCGGCGCGTCGCGCGGGTGCGCGCACAGCCGCCCCAGCTGCGCGCTCGGCGCGAACAGCGTCACCGTCCACGACGCGTCCTCGTTGGGCAGCGCGATCAGCATGAAGCTGCCCCGCGGCCAGATGTGCAGGTAGTTGACGGGCTGCAGCAGCGACTGCCGGGGCCGAAGGCGGGCTTCCGTTAATCACACGCGAATACAAAGATGTGTAAAGGACGATCCTTAGTATAAACAACATAATTGCAATTTCAAACTAGTGGTGACATAAAATAGCACACACTTTCTCGTACTAGTTTCTCTATATAATAGCTTGAGTATAGGTGTTGTGGTGCGTTATTGTTGGCATTTTTTATGAAATAATTATAAACGTTGTCATTGCCAACAATACAACAATACATGACAACGTTTATAATTATTTCATAATAGCTTGAGACTTTCTTTTCTGTTTTGCCCCATCCATTTCCCGTCTGCATAAAGTATCTGTCGGGGACCCTTCCCAGTAGTTACCGTTCACCTCGGAGAAAGTCGATTAAATATTGGATCTTAAGCAAGTCAATAAAGTGAAGAGCATGGAGAACGTTGATCAGAAATGATCTCAAAACTTCGAGCAAGTAGCACATCAATCACGAAGATAATCTCCAGGAAGTCGATCAAATGGACAATTTAGAGCAAATCTATTAAGACGCGAATCTTGAGCAAGAGGTTAAGATGTATGATCTCAACCGAGCCGATCAAATGAAGCTCAAATAAGTCAAGATTAAACGGGTATTCAAAACCGACATGGAGTGGAGTACTACAAGAAAGTCGAGATCAAAAGAGGTTCTCAAGAATATCAAGAGCAAGTGTAGGATCTCAAAGGAATATCAAGAGGAGGATCTCAAGAAATTATACATTAAGCGGAAAATCTCAAGAAAGCCAAGATATAGAAGATACTTGTGGATAGTAGAGATCAAGTTAAGGACCTTAAGATTCGTGAAATTGAAGAGGAAACTAAATTAGTCAAGATAAAGTGGAGAAACTTTATGGTCTAAATCATGTGGTTGATTTGAAGAATATCGAGACTAAGTAAATGATATCATAAAGTTGAAAATGTGAAGTAAGTCGATATGAAAATATAAAGGTGGTCTGAAGTAAATCGGTCAAGAGGTAGTCTGAAGCAAGGCGATCAAGCATGATGATCAACATGCTTAAAATTCACATAATCATTATATTGTCATTAAAATTTCAGACGTTTTCATAATTTTTTGAATACAACTTAAGCGTCATTGTCTGAGGCTTTTTAAATGTGCATTATTAAATGTGTATATACTAATGTGTATTAGTTTTCCAATGGAGGCACGTGCTTGTCACTCCCAAAACCGTGCAATATTGTCACTCAAAATAGTGTGTGTAATAATAATGTGTAAAATAATCTTCAAATTCTCTCAAATCTTCCAATCATAAGTCTAACATTGCTAGAAATTTAGAAAAGTTTCAAGATTTGACAGTTTACATTTCATGTTAAATTCAAGCATTCAAAAATAAATTAATTTTTTGATTGAATAAACTATTTTCTGTTACGACGTCGATGTTCCACCACGATGTTCAGAAGAAAAAGGATAATAAGACATCACTCACGTTTTCAAATGACGATCTTAATGTAGTGTTAATGAAAACGTAATTGATGAAATGTTTATTACCGTGCCGTCCGGGGCCGGTGGGATGCGCAGCTCGAGGTAGGCGTGCTCGATGTTGCTCTGCCGGAAGTCGAAGCCGGGCCTTCGCAGCATGGCGGCGCGCACGCGTGAGTGGGCGCCGTCCGCCCCGACCAGCAGCTGCGGCGCCGGCACGTGCCTCGCGCCGCCCTCCGCCCTGCGCACGCCCACGCCACGCCCACCTCCGCGTCACTCCTGCAACTCATTCTTCGCTCACACACCACTCCGGGGTCTTTGAACTCTCCGTCAAGATCGGAGGCGCAAGATGCTACTATAGAAGGCAGTGGTGTATCCGGGTACAGCTGCAGGTTAGGCTCTCCTACTTCCGCAGATAAAAATTGGCTAATGTGTGAGAAATAAGAAAATTGCCTTTTGAAGGTTCAATTATTCATAATATACACATATAAGAAATTCCTGAAGAAAGCGCGAACATAGACGTTATCTTTTGTAACATTATGGCCTTGCTTGCGACCCGCGAACCCACACAGCAGCCACGCACGTTTCAAGTGTCGTTGGACGCAGTTCGTATTTTAGTTCCTGTTAGATGGGGTTACATGAGAGCGCGCCACTATAATGAACTCCACCACGAAGTTGGAAGGCCCTGCATCACACTCCGATGGCGCCGAAGCGATAAGCGAGTAGCTATACTCCGATTAAAACCGCATGTCATTTCAATGTATTTAATACTACTCGAAATGATATGAACAATAAATTGACTCAATTAAACTATTTTCCTGACCAAATTTTTGTTCAACAAAAAATGTTTTGTTCGTCAATCCATCATTTTCATCTGGTGGTCGAAGAAAGTTTCTGCTCGGAACAGTTTCTGCGCGCACCAACGTGATAAAAACTCAATATGTTCAACATGTATAATGCTAATCCTTGATAAGCAAGAGATACGATGGTTCCCCTGAGGGATATGGGGTTATAATATCGAGTCCAATGACATATGACTTGTATTCAAAACTAATTTTGAAAGAAGTAGGTCGTGCGCTGTCGCGATGCTAGGACATAAAAAAATAACATTAGTTATACTTGTACATGTGGATACTATCGTGACGTTAAGAATGTTTCTGCTTTCGTCCAACGCACTAAATGCTTTAGCGAAAGTTTACCTACTGAAAAGTTAGTTCTCCGGAGTCGAAGTCAGCCGCCACAAGTTTATGATTGAAGTGAAGATTGACGTTTGGGAATGTTTCAGCCGCTGCAACAAAAATCCCTCATTTATTCATTATCATGTATTTTAATACACTTGATCTTATCCTATGCAAATTAGCTTTTCACTTACCGGAGAGAAGAATTTCATTCAGGAATTTCCGGTTAACCGAGTATATACACTGAAAAGGAAGCATGTTCGAATATTCATTTTGTTGAAATAATTTCATAAACTACTGAATAAAATTACAAACATCTCCAAAAGATGAACTCAATTTTATTCTTTTAATGTACAGAGTGTTGGATACCATTTTTTATTGGAATCAATCTCAAATTTTGGTAAGATTTGAATCACCCAATTTGATTTTCTACTTCTGACAGTAGCGAAATTTAAATTCCAAGGTGGTAGATAATTTGGTAGCTTGTTAATTTCTTCGATATCCCTCAACATTGTTATTAAAATATGAAAAATGAGAGGTGAACATTTTCAGAACGTCTAAGTAATATTAATTCGTACCTATAAGCACATGTATTTTTAACAATACTTATTAGATTTTTATTTATTTTAGAGTAAAACTATGTAATTACGGCCTTGCATATTAAAACATCTCTTTATGAACTATATATTTATAAAATATTCCGTGTAAATAATATTTTTAAATGAATATTAGTCATAATATTAAAGATATACAGCTTTGTTGATTTGAGTATTAACGTCGTTCAGTCCAAATTTAGATGCCACTATTTGTAAAGAAATGTTATTTAAAGGTGAAAACAACATTTGTTGAGCACACTGAGATTTTTTAATAAACATAAATGTAATTGCGAAATAATTACTTACAATTTGTCCATTTGAGTCAAAGATATTATGTTTGAATACACACATACGCGTTTCCATCTCTCAAAATATAATTTTTACGCCACGTTTTGAAGCATGTGGCTAGAAATGTTCGAGTATCTCCATAATTTTCATCCCGAGATGTTCGCGATGAAAGACGGACCTTGCAAACACAAAATCGATCAAGCGCCATAAATAGAACCGAGGCCCAGCGAGACTATAATATACAACATAGAAAATGCTCGCAAGCAAGGAAACAAAAGATGCAATATTTTGGGAAAAATTAAGTTGGTGAAGCAAGGGTGAAGCAAGTCTGCGATGTGACACTTGTACATCTTTACTGTGAAAGTAAAGGGAAAGATAAGAGTTTTGTAAAATGTTCCTAGCTTTTCAGGTGATAACTATTCCATCATTAAAAAGTGGTTGAAACAAAGATTTCTTACATTCTTACATACTTTTTGGTCAACATCCAAAAATCAAGATTTTATGATTTTCTAAAACTTTATTACGAATACGTTTGACCTGGTGATTTTTTTTCTTTACGCCATATCAAGAAAGTAGAGCTTAGAGTGGTTTAAAGCCAAGAATGTCTTTAAGCTGTAATTTGTGTAAAAGTTTACTGTAACAGTGGTTTGATCCTCCCCAATACCTAATTTGTTTGTAATTTTGTTCAATATATTCAAAGTAATTACTCTGTATGTCTCGTCATATCCCAAGTAATATTACTATTGTGACTATACTTGTTAATTGTTTATTTCATGCTAACCATTAAAAAATACGAATTAAAAAAATGTTAATGAGGGGATGAACCCCTCTGAAATACTTTCTTGATCTAACATCGGGGTCAACCCTCGCTTATAGATATGAACCACAGTCGGATATACCTACAAGAAAAGTAAACTATTAAAATTGCTTAAGGGCCTTCAATGACGAGGGACCGCGCCCCGAGAAAAATCATAAAATAATAGAAAAAATATAAAACGTTTATGAACCATTAGATTAATTGTTAATAAAATGGTCTACTGTACTGAAAACAAAACTAGCAACTTAAAGTTTAAATGTAAAAAAATTGTATTGATTTTTTAGTACATATATAAGTTTTTATTTCAGGAGGGTAGCAACTAAAAAATTTAATTATTTTTTTTCACATTTATGTTTTAGTAAATATGAATTGATGAAAATCAGAACGGTACAAATGACATTTTATAAATTCTGAGTAAACCGTGTATATTTTAGGCTACATTTCTGTGGCAATGTATTTTCCTGCCTTTAATGAACAATCGAAATGCCGCGGTTTTAATGATCAAAAAGGCACCACAACTTTACAGTGAAATTTCCGTAAATAAACAGGTTTCTCAGAACTTATAAAATGTCTCTTATACCGTTCTGTTTTTCACCCATTCATATAAATATTTTTTTTTTATTTTGGGAGGGTAGAAACATGATTTTAAGTAGAGTAACTGTTAGTAGAATAGTGTTCTGTACTAAAACCAAAACGAGCAACTAAAAATTTTCATTAAATATATTTTTCAAATTGGTTTTTATTGTAAATATGAAGTTTTTATTTCGGGACGGTCGAAACATGATTTTAAGTAAAGTAATTGTTAGTGGAATGATATTCTGTACGAAAACCAAAACGATCAACTAAAAAAATATGCATTAAACATTTTTCAAACATTTTTTCATTTTATTTCGTAAATATGAAGGATTTTTTTTATCTCGTGAGGGGGGAACATGAGTTAACATTTGCGACACCGTCAGTACCCAAACCCAGTCCAGAACTGCAGGAGGAGATTGACACGCGAAGGCGGGTGCGGAGCGCTCCTACCTCCTTTCCCAGCACGTCGTAGGGCACGGGCGTGCGGCGGCCGTCGGGCGCGTGCAGCATGCGGCCGCGCATGGGCACGCCCTGCGCCAGCACCGTGCTCTCCAGCGCCGCGGCGCGCAGGGCGGCGCGCCCGCGGTGCGACAGCGCCAGGTTGATGGAGCGGCCGCGCGCGTTCGGGCAGCGGCGGATGTCTGCAACGGCAGCCGCCGCACGTGTATGTACTACTATACAGTGATGACTGATTGTTAACGATTCCGGTAGCGTCTACTGCTAAGGTCATTAGTCCCATAAGTTAAGTGCATGTTTCTTCCTCGGCGTTCGGATTTTACGCAACGTGCGCTCGTGTATTTACGAGGATATGGTGATGATTGATTCATTGATTGTAAGTAATTCCGGGCGCGTCAACAACTGAGGTCATTTCTCCCATAAGTGTAGTACATGCTTCTTTCTCAAGCGTTTGTATTATACGCAGCAACGTGCGCACGTGCATGTACAGTACATTGTGATGATTGATTCATTGTTAGTGATTCCGGGCACGTCAGCTGCTAAGGTCATTAGCCCAAAGAGCGTAGTGTATGTTTCTTCCTCGGGAATTGGCGGGAAGCTTCTCCCGCTGTATGGCGAGATCCGGCGCCGACCTACCATTGGGTAGCAGGGTTTCCCACAATGAGGTATCTCCCACCAGCAGAGCATTGCCAAAGCCGGGACAAGCTCTAAGCTTCCAACCTGTCTCCCGGCATGTGTGTGTGTGTGTGTGTGTGTAAGTAAGAGATGAGGATTGGACAAGGCAGAGGAAGGTGAGATCGCGCGCGGTCCGTGGCCCATTTGTTTGGGTACTGCTTGGAGAAACCACGTGAAACTCCCGATCAGAGCAGCCGGCATTCTTCTCCAGACAGCGACTGAATTCTACCTAGCTGACAAGCTAGTGATGCCAATCTTACCACCTTGAGGACTCGAACCTAAGATCTCCCAGTCAGAGGCTCTGTAGTGATATCAGTTGATACCCAGAGCCGCCTCTCCCCGTGAGGTTATATTGTGAATATCTTTGTTTATATAACGATATGTAAAGGGGTTGGACAAAATACTATACAGGGACTTTTTAGAGCAGAGGGCGAGGCTATCTCCAACATCGTTGAAACATTTGGCGGATTTTTTGTCTCAAGAATGGGAGAACATTTTTTGGAGACTGTTTAGACAGTACAAATCAATTCCTCGACGAATTGCAGTTGTTCTAAATGGTGGCGAATCACCTTATTAACAAATAAATAATTGGATATGTCAGGTGTTCGTATTTTTCTGTGAAACCCCTGTTTATGCAGATGGTTCGTTCTCAGCAACGATGTAAAAGAAAAGATAGCAGGCGCGTGAATGCGGCATATCACTCACCTTCGCGATATTCATAGAGATCGACGTGGTGACCACGGCGTGCCAACAACACAGCTTCGAGAGCTCCAACCTGCAAATAAAAAAAACAAACTCTTTTGATAATATGTTTTTCATATCATGAGCGACTTTCACCGAATATTTATTCAAATTCAAGAAAAGTAAGCTCACGTTTTAAAGTGATCAAAAAACGCGGGGAGAAATCTGTGAGGGGAGGAATCTGTCAGAGGAGGAATCTGTCAGAGGAGAGTAGGAATGTGTCAGGGAAGGCGTCAGTGAGGAAATTACAATATATTTTGCACTATATTAATAAATTTATACTAGGGAAGAACGTCGTATGTTTTATAAGCAAAAATTTTGTGCAACAATGAGCTCCGAAAATGGGACAAAGGCGGGCAAACCTCTTGTGAACTACCTGCCATCACTACGTTTTTCAAATGTAAGTTGTTTTCACGTAATATTGGGACCATAAATTATAAAGTTTCCATGAATTTCTGAACAAGAGTGTGTCAAAACTTGACCTGATAGTTTTTCTTCAAATTGATTTACTCGAGTATATACATTATATTTATTATATATATATTTATATATACTCGAGTATAGAGAACTGTTCTTATGACTATGGTAAAAGTATATTTTATTAATATCTCTGGAATTTGGAAAATGCAGTAGTTGAACTTGTATTCTACCACGTCCTACATCATTGAAGCAAAATATTTCTTTTTATTGCATTATATTCTTCAATATTATATTTATAAATCATTTCATTAATTTTCGAAATATAATTGTCGTAATTTTGAGATGAATAGGTAAGGATCTGGTTTCTTCGAAATTAAAGCGGTCGAGATTGAATACCGCCCTGGGAAATTATATTTCTTACAGGTTGGTAAGGACGGAGCAAAAAACAATAAATTCAATGAAAGAAGGATCATTTTCAATAAAGCGTTTGAAATTTCAAAAACTGGAGATGTGTTTTTTCTAAAATAATCCTCTTAGAGAGAAGTAGATGTCAAGATGTAGATGTCAGTCTTCAAGAGATGTCTGATGGTTCTTATAATATAAGTTGGTAAGTTATAAAGAAATTGTTACAAATAATTCGAGAAAGGATGCGATGTTATAGCAGCAACAGTAGTTCACTAATAAAATACTTCTCTGTTTACATCCACTTGTAAACGCGCCCCTATATGGGCATCGCAGACTGACGCAATTTCTGCTTCGATCGACGAATGCACTTCCTTGTAATGCGTATGTGAAACATTAATTTTATCTCATTTTACGTCAAGAGGAGAACGCCTGCATCTTCTGCAAGAACATGCATGATATAATAACCGCTTCATTTCTCTGCAAAACAACAACAAAGTAGGCCGTTGAGATGGTACAGTTGGATAAAAGCCATACAAGTCGCGTATGTTTAAAATAGTATAATGACGTTTTGTTTAGTTACAAATTGCAAAACTTTTAAAAATGGCCAATTTGTAATAATTCTCCCCAAATACGAACGCAAGAATTGTAGGAAGATGCGATAAAAGGCTCTATCGCCTAGGTCACTTCTCACCAAATCTAACGAGCCCAAGAAACAACACACAACGGGTGATGCGCCGTATAGCTAAACGTGCGGGTGCTGGTGTTGGATCGCTGCAGTGGACGCGTAGACTATTTCACCAGTCCACTCGGATGGTGACAAGTTCGGCTCCGACAGATGAAATGGACAAAATGCTGGAAGCTTTTTTTAAACTGATTTTGACGTAAACAAATAAATAAATTAAAAAATAAAAAATAAATTAAAAATTAATAGTAAATAATAAAAAATAATAATAAATAATTAAAAATAAATAAATAGTAATTGAAAATAAATTAAAAAATAACAAAAATAAATAAAAATTTAATAAAAATAAATAAAGTTGTTACGTGAGAAAATATGAGCCTCCTATTGATATACATTTCACAATAAGTCTTTAAACTAGTGGCGCTACAGCAACATTCACTTTCTCGTAAAAGATCGTAACGGTTAGTTATTCATGTTATAACTACAGCATTCACTTCACAAACTCCTAAAGAAGCATAGCATCGGGCGTTATAAAAATTCTTTTTTTTAATTCAAAAATTTAAATGAAATTGGATTTCTGTCTTTGAATTCAGTATATTGCACTCAAAAATTTTCCCGAAAATTTTCATATGAAAAGATATTTTGGGTCGAAAAGATATTCTGAAAGTTATTTTAATTAAACTATTAGCGTACTTGAAAATGAAGAAAATCTGTAAAAATTAACGAGCTTAAATCACATAAAAACTATTGTATAGGTAATTGAGATGGTTTGTAAATATTACAATGTACGATATTTTGTGTTAAACACGATGTACATTATCATTTACATCGCCATTAAAACATTTTTATGTGAACATTTCTAAAAATTTCATGTCATTTCGAGGCGACCTATTGTTTAGAATAGATTTAGATTAAAGTATTTTCTCACTAATATTTTGTAGAAAGCACTCCAATTATCTCAAGCCATGTATAATATAAACACGGCAGAGTCCCGGTAATTCATAGAATCAGTTGTTGGTAACTGGTTGCTGGTTAATATGTCTAATACTTTGCAGTGTTTTACAGTGCAGGAAACATGAAAAACACATTAACATAAATTGTAGGTCTAATTATTCAAAAAATTGATTGAAACTCATATTTAATTATTAATTTATCATATTTATCGAAACTCATTTTATTTTTCACTGGTCAATAATTACACAGATATGAAAATGTAGCTCTAAGATAAGAATCAAAACATGGTTTTTAGTTTATGAAAAATACCTTCTGCATTTTACCTCTCTTTCGCGACACAATGTACCTCTTACCACTTACGCAAATAGATGAAATCAGCTGGCTTTGCTTTCTCCTGCTATCTGGTAAACTGCAAGGCTGCCTTAACTGTCTCGAGTCCTTCCGAATGTGGGATGAGATTTTTCGTGCCATCTAAGAGTTCATGCTCCTCTTCTATTATTTCTCCTCGTGACAACATTTTTATAATAGTTATTTTATCATCTTTGTCGTTTGACCTCCATTCTTTAATGTTCTTTGCAGTGATGTCCTCACAGCCCGACATTTCTTCCAGGAATGAGACAAGTATAGCGCTTTTATCTTCCATTTCGGTTTCGCATATTGATCCAAGGTTGGAATGTCCCCCTTCATGGTCCAAAAATGTTTTCCCAGACCGTAACAGTGGTATGTTTAGAATATCTCCTCATGCTTCCGCTGACTACCTTACGACATCTAGCATATCCATCTTTTAGCGGTTACGTAGTCTTCATTATTATCAATCGCTGAAATCAATGACCTGAGAAGAGGTCAGCGATATTTTTTCTTAAGCTGCTCAAGGACTCTCTGGTCTGTAGGCTGGCTGACAAACAGCTGTTACATTGGGTGGTAAAAATAAAAGCTTTGAAGTTCCCATCTGTGATTTCATCAGTAACAGAATGTGCGTTGTCAAGAATTAACAGATCATTTTCTTGGCAAGAACTTATCTAAGCTTCTACGAATTAATTTTGAAACCAGGTTTTAAAAATGTTTGAATTCATCCATGATTTTTTTGTTGTTTATGATAAAGGTCCAGTTATTCCTAATTTTTTAATTTTTTTAAAAGCTCTAGGTTAATTATAGAAATAGACATGAGGCGTTGTTATATCGTGTTCATTGTTTCATAAAGCTTTTTCGGCCACATTGAGGCACTCTCTTGCGATACCCAACCGCCTCAGAATCGCACTGAAGATGGCTGCAATGCGACCGAAAAAAGCTTTATAGAATAATAAATACATGCGACAAAACAGCGCCCCATATTTTTTATAATGATGTCAATATGGAAAACACTACGTCCTTTCCTAGCTCTAGGTTTCTTAGATTTTTATATTAATGTCAACTTAAGCTTGTGATTGCCCGTTGCATTGCTGCAAGACTAAATAGTGACTCAATTCTTCCTTTTGTATCCTGGCGCAACATTTTTTTCGAAGCAAGTGTTTTTGCTTGGAGCATGATAAATTAATTAAATCGTTTTTAATTTGTTGCAGGGTTATAATTTAAATCCAACACATAGCAGATGTATTAACGTTTCCCCAAAACTCCGCTGTTGAATTTAAAGCTATGAAAAATTGTCTCGCACATAGATACACCGCTTCTTGTATCAGCAGATAATACTTCCCCACTTTCAGTAATCTGGCGAAATGCGGAACAGTTTTTTTCAGCGATCTTAACCATCCATCACTAGCAGCAAACTCTGCTACCTTGACTTCTATTGGACGCTTTAATTACAAAAGTTTATAATCAGGAAAAGAGACAAGGCATATTTTATTGAAGTCCATTACGCACTAACGAAACAATGAACAACGAAAGAGCGCTGCTTTATCGTGTTCACAAATGTATTTTGCAGAAGACACGTTGTAGAGGACCGTAAGCAGACGCCCGTTCTAACGCCTTCCAATATAATTTTGCCCCCCATTTAATAACGATAAAGAAAAACTAGGTCGAGTAATAATGGAGGTCTGATTAGTCACCAGATCGGATGTGATGAAATTTCTCGTTTTTAAAAATGTCAATGACCTTTTTTATTAAGATCCAATTTATTGACAACAGATTTTCTGAAAACAAAAAATGTGCTATCATCAATATTGTGCTTTTGCAATATTATTTTCTTTTTCATTTTTGATAATATTGTGAGTTTGATGAAAACAATTTTTTGCCCGCAGCTTTTGAAATACCGAGAAGAAAGTTGAGATTATTTTTAAGAAAATAATTGTTTGAAAATTGCTTATGCTTCACACAAAATTAATCATAATTTTGAAAAAATTGTACATTGACCTTATTTTAAGGTCTGAATTTGAACTTTGGATTTAATTGTATTTGTAGGAAGTTGTAGTTGTAATGATGCAGTTGTAGTTGTTTAATTTAGTTGTTAGGACGTAGCCGAAAAAATTGAAATTTTGCAATATTAAAAAGAATAAGCATTTTTAACGAAAATGGACATGCGCAAACTTTTAAAGGTTCTTTACTATATGCGGGGTCAGTGTTTGATAAAAAAAAATTAG